CAAAAAATGAGTCAATAACGGCAAATGGAAGAACATACAAAAATTTTGAAGTNCATAGCACCTGCAGTTGCAACGCAAGCATGCGAAACCTGCAGTTACCAGTGTCCCACGGGCAAAAGACACCACACGCGCATCCGGAATAAACGCTGACGATGCGTCACCGCAATATGGGAACGTCGTTGGCGCTGCGACGCTGACAATTGCTACGCTATGTCACTTGCAATGCAACGTGACTTATTAGTTTTAAATAGGTGTAAGACAATGATGGCAGTTAGTTAATTTTGGGAAATAAAGGTGAAAAGATCGGCACAAGCCGGGAAAAAAAATTTTTTTTTTAATCCTTTAAACTCGTCGAGAATTAACTTACACAAACATCTAACTATGTTATTGTCAATTCTCTTTATATACTGATACGCTAAAATCAGGTTTGGGAGATGTGATTTATATTTTTTACAAGTTGTTATGCGCACCTTGTGGTCGCCCAATAAATATTGAACTCAAGCGAATTGCGTTTTTCTGAGTGTTTAGCGAGTTCCTAAACACATACACTATGTTGTGGAGGTCGTTATGAAATATAATTTGGGTATTTTACTGCCCTTAATTTTCGAACATCTCGTAGTACCTTTCTGTTCGAGCAATACAGCCATCAACGCGTATCAATTACAGGTGATAACGATAGAAGCAATGCTTCTTCGCGCGATTTTTATTAAAAATGTTCCCTTTTTTAATGTAATTAATTGATATGATAAAAAATAGCGGTGCAGGCGTAAATGTTTCCTTTTTTAATATTGTTTATTATAAAATGCGAAAAGAATGTAAAACATACCCTTATGTTATGGAGGTCATTATGAAATATAAGTTGGGTATTTTACTGACCTTAATTTTCGAACATCTAGTAGCACCCTTCTGTTCGGGCAATACAGCCATCAAGGCGTATCAAATACAGGTGATAGCGACAGAATCTATGCTTCTTCTTATGATCACGCTTCTGTCAAATTATCGCCTGTTTTGCTTTGTTTTCATATCCGCGTATACATACACATATACGTAAATATATACCCTGCAAACAAATGCCCCTGAAATCTTTAAGGGTATAGATGCCCACACTCACCGTCGTCTACGTATGCCGTGTCTGTTTGACGTAGTAACATATAAAATGTACTGTTGATAGAGAGAGAGAAGCGTGCGTAACCGTCGCACGTCAGCGACACTCACTTCCGTTAACGTGTCAGCTGACACGATCATGTAGAAAACGCACATCGATAATTTGATAAATAATGAAAATTTTTAATAAAAAATCGCGCGATTTTTTATTTAAAATTTTCGCCTGCGGCGCTTTTTCCATAAAAATCAATACTTCGATAAGTAATGATAATTTTTAATAAAAAATCGCGCGATTTTTTATAAAAAATTTTCTCCCGCGGCGCTTTTTCCATGAAAATCAATACTTCGATAAGTAATGAAAATTTGTAATAAAAAATCGCGCGATTGTTTATTAAAAATTTTCGCCCGCGGCGCTTTTTCCATAAAAATCAATACTTCGATAAATAATGAAAATTTGTAATAAAAAATCGCGCTTTTTTTATTACAAATTTTCGCCTGCGGCGCTTTTCCCATAAAACTCAATACTTCGATAAACAATGAAAATTTTTAATAAAAAATCGCGCGATTTTCTTTGCCTGCGGCGCTTGTCATTTTTTGTCTATATTGGGGGTGTTTAACCCCATACCCTCGTATACTACTAATTCAACGCTGAGCAGGAAAATGGGTACGATAAAAACTATTCTCTTTTATTGTTATTTTCTTAGATGTGGCTGCACTCTTCTAATGTCAGTGTGAAACCATGGTTGAATCAACGGTTCTGTATTCACAATGTGCGTATACATATATAAGTGCGTGATAACTATAAAAATTCACTTAATTTACTAAAAATACATCATAAATGTAAAAAATATGTTTACATTTCATTGTGCGGGGTTTTAATGCAACTATTTTGCCGAAGTGTGTACATAAATATAGTCTTTATTGAATGAAATAGCGCCGAGAGGTTAGTTCAATTTACAAACTTTAACAACAAATAACTTAAAAACTATAAGCCTCCTGCGGCTAAAAGTATATATATTTGCAATCAGGAGAACTCCCCCTACCCCCCCATAGCCACATTTTTTTTGTACGCGGTACGGTAAAAGTTGTTTTTGGACTATTGCTACAACCTGTAGTTATTGAATCATGTACAGCCATTTTGATTTGTTTGCAATTTGCATTGAAAAGATTGTGCATTTATGCAAATATAAGTGATAGGTGATCTTTGTATATGAAAATTTGTCTTAAATACTGGTATTAACAAAGTGAAAATAGTGCGAATTTATGTAAACATATCTGTTTCTTAACATCCTCGTAAAGTTTCATGAGAAAAATCGTTATATATTTGCCAAAAGGCACACATGTCGATGTACACTGAAGTCAACTCAAAATAAAAGTCATTGTGTACAAATACAAGTGAGATATCCTAGCAATAGACGTCATCCTAAGCAGTGTTGCCAAGTTTTGAATTTGAAAAAGCACTAAAGCCCAAGAAAAATCGCATTTTTCTTGNAAAAAGCACTAAAGCCCAAGAAAAATCGCGTTTTTCTTGAAAAAAAGCACCAATTTTTTATTGGAGATTTTAATGGACTTTGTATGCACACAAAATTTTATTGTAGCTATGCCGATTCAAATTAATAAAAATTAATGTTTCTTGCTCGGCGGTCGAACTTATTCTGTTTTCTATAAATTCAAGCATTTTCGTCCAAACGACGCGACGTAAACATTTTTGTTCTTATTTTCTTATTTCCGTTGTTTAAATATTAATTTTCTTTGTATTGCTTAATTTTTTCTACAATTCCTATCAAACGAAAGTAACCACAAAAAATTAAGTATGTTTCATGAACTATGTAGAAGTTTAAGGGCCAGTTACTCAATGTCTGGTTAACACTAATCTCCGGTGAAACATAGTTATCGACGTTACCGACTCCCTGTTGTATGCAGAGTGGAAAAAATCTTTTTGTATAAAAAAAGCTGCCTTCAAGATTATTCTTTTTTAAAAGGGATCGTTATTCATATAACAAATTCAGCCCAAACTAAAGGTCTGAGAAGATCGATTCCTGCACCCGGATTCCAACTTTCGCTATCATTAAAATGCTAAAATCTGCTAAAACGCTTAAGCTTAAATTTTATCCGAATTTTTGGCGATCTCCGAAGATCGCGATTCTGTCCATCCTGTCGCTAAAAATTGCTTAGCCTAAATTTTAGTACTTTATCCGGCTGCCAGGGGCGCTGGGCAGCAACGGCAGCTGTCAAATTTTGTTTTGATTTTAATAATGCTAAAGAGTGAAAATAAAAGTAAGTAGAACTTTGCAATAATTTTGACCGATTTATTATAAATTCATACAACTTATTAATAGAATTAATAAAGTACAATCGAAGAGTTTTGGATTGCAAATTAAATAAAGTGTTTGTAAGTGAAAACAAGTCGGTTAATTAAGCATTTTGTTGCAACCATAAATACAACAAGTAAGAAAGTCTAAGTTAGGGTGGAGCCGAACATTAAATACCCGGCGCAAGTATTAAATATGTGTTTTTTCACCTTTCCGAAAGCTACCGCTAGATGGTAAGCCGGGGTGTATCAATTTTGAGTAAATTAGCATATTTAAATTTCGAAATATTACAGTTTCAAGCATTTCTGAAATTTAACGTTATATGAAAAGTGGCAGTAATTTTAGTCCGATTTCAATAATTTTTAACGTTTTGCTTTTACGTGGCAAGCACATTAAAAATACCGAGTTTGGTGGAAATTGGTAGAACGGTTGCCGAAATACATATATGTGATCATAAGTGGGCGGTGCCACGCCCATTTTCGGGTATATTAATTTTGTTCACATAACGGTTGTTTGTAACAGCCAAAACGAATCGAGATAGATAGAGACAAATGTATACATAAATGCTCAGAATG